CGAAGGGCCTGTACTGCGCTGTAATGTTCTATGTTCTATGTTCTATGTTCTATGAGTTCCTGACCCTCATTGTAACTGCTTTTTATTACCACCATGCATCATGAAGTATAATGAACTCAATGCAATAGTAAATCAATCTAACTGTGCTTTAGTTTCTGACATTGCTGTGTTCTTACTTTCACTCCTTTGTTAGTTTGTGGTAATAATTTTCCATTCAATGAATGTGGAAAGACTTTGGCTTGTGCATTTTCACCTGGGCCAGATATTGGAGGGAATATTCACTTTAATCAGGAGGAGAATTGGACAGTGGGACACTATGGTAAAGGTACTGGATGCTCAACAAATGCAGTGAAAATGGGAAACTCCATTTAAACAACATGTGGTTAAGTAGTAATGAGATGTTATTGCATGTTAATGAATGCATATAGGCCTCTCACTGTTCACTAGCGAGAATCTAGTCTCATTGTTAACACTTGCTTTATAAAGTCTCTTAGCTCCTGGTTAAAAGCCATAGCTTGCAACAACTGGTGAGTGGGAAATAAGTTTGCTTTCTTCAGGCTCCAGGTATTTTTTTATAGCAGGGAGAGAGGGAGACAGGCAGACAGACAAACGGAGAGACAGAGATACAGAGAGAGAGAGAGAGACAGAGAGAATTCAGAGAGAGAGAGAGATAGACCACCTCCTTTTTTGGAGGTCTGAAGGCTTCTGGCCATATTGTTCATACCCACAGTCTACCTAGGAGCCAATCACATAGTTGTTGGCAGGCAAAAGCCTTTATTACTGACAATTGGTCTCCAACGGCACAAACTAATCAGCTATTTGTTGCTGGACAAATCTCTTCTTGTACAGACTCCCCCTTGACAGCTATCTGCAATCAATATTCCCCCACTGAATGAGTAAAATATAGTTTAACAGCACTTACGATGAGGGCCAAAGGCAGGTATACAGAGTTAGGCCACAGATCAGCCATGATCTCATTGAACGGTGCAACAGGCTGAAGGGGCTGAATGGCCCACTCCTGTTCCCAGGTTCAATAGGGGAAATCAGTGAAATTCTGGGTCATCAGGAGTGATGACTGGAAGGAAAAGGAATTTGTCAAGGTGTATTTTGCTGGTGAAAGTTATTTCTGGAATGCTCAGGCTGAGTGATATGATTATTGAAGGAGACTGGGAAATTGGACCAGACAGGACAGGGAAGTGTGTGCCTGCTGGAAAACTGAGGGGATCTTGGGATGTCACCCTAAATGCTATGTACCTGCCAGTAATGTGCAGTGTGATAAAATATTTTGTAAGGCATATTTGGTTATGTTTGTTATAAAATGCAAAATGACCTTTAATTTGGGGTTTCAGGAGCCTACTGAGTAATACTTGGTCTAATTCCCTTTCAGTTTGCCAGTTATATAAAAGTTCTAAAATCTGAAATGTTGTCTTTTGGTTATTTCCATCAATTGTTGGTGATAGACCCTTTTTTATGACCTAGCAGTCTCTAATGGGATCTTAACACTTGGCTCCATTTTGAAGCCGGTGCTAGGAATGAGAAAGTCCATGCTATTGAGAATGCTGAATCATTATAAGCTGACTCATCGCCCCACACTAGCCTTGATTGCTCCAGGATTGGTCTGGGACTGGCCCTTATGGGATAACAGTCTCCTTTACGATGAAGGCTTTGTGAAAAAATTGTGAAAAATGAGCATCGATTTCCATAATCAGGTGCTGATGGAACTAAAATAGCTGTGAATCATAATCCTTTCCTATTCAGGTGGACAGTGACATTTTTCAGCAAGGTATGTAATTCCACATGGATGCATCTTTCATATTTGATCTTTCATCTTCGACCTTTCATCCCTGTTCTTACAGGATTCCAAGCTTTCTAAAAAAGTGCACAACATATTCATTATGCTGCTGAATGTTAGTTAACAGGAGGTGCAACTTCTCATTCGAGCACCAAAGAATCGGGAAGTTACTTTACATATTGATGAGCATCTGATTGATTTTGTTAAAGATATTCTCAATATAATTGAAAATCATTGATGATCAAATCTTTGACAGCTTTGGCAGTTCATTGCCTGTCATAAAATTAAGCTGCAGGTCTATTTGGACCATGTGACACCTTTGCATCATGACACTCCTCACAAATCAGTCTTGAGAAGCACCTTTCCTTTACAATGTGCACTCTGTTGTTTTCTGTTGTAACTGTTTCTGTTATCTCTGTTGATTCTGTTTGTTTCCGTTCTATCGGTTTGTGACCAATTTAGGAAAAATTAGGAAGAACAAACTGTTCTAGAAAAAATGTATCTACCAAGCACCCCTCCCTAGATCTTAATATTCCTCCCTTTGAAAAGCAGAGACACATGAGATACCCTTGGGAAAATACATATTGGAGGGAACAGAGGGAAAGGCACATTGTCACTGATGCATTCAGAAAGAAAAAGCAAGGGAACAAATCGAGGTATAACAACAAAACTCTTTAAGCTCACATCCATATACAACACATCATCTGGAAGCCATGAACATTCAAGTTAAATGAACAGGTAATGATAACTGTGAAAACTCAAGCAAAATATGATATAAGAGTGTGTGATGTTGAAATGTTGTACTTAAATCTGTTTTTAAACAAGAAACATAATCAGCATGCATTTTGGAATGATAAAAATTATGTTTGCAACATTGGAGAAGATGAAAATAACATTAGGGATCATTTTAAACAGATAATCACCCGGTTTTACTGAATCAGTATCCAAATCTTAGGAAGTGGACAGTGCAACATGTTCTTTTTTTATAATACTCATGAACTTAATAAGTGTTATACCATTTCTGTTTGTCACGTTAAAAATAAAGTGGTCATACCATATAGATTCTGTATTGCTCTGATATCATCCCATGAAAGAGAGAATATATTTGATTGATCGTATTTATATGCGGGATACATCACAGAAGAGCGACGGCTGGAATGACCAAGCCCCAGTGCATGACCAAATTCATGGACAGCAACATGAAATAAGTTGACACCTGTAAAGGAAATAATTAATTTCATTATAAGCAACCTCACAATGTGTGACATGCATTGAATACGTCTACAGCTTGAGATTTTCACTGGCTCTCTCCTTCCATCTTCTTTATTTTGTCTATTATAAACGGCACCTCCTGCAACCAGCATTCCTAAATAACATTAAGGCATCAAATTGACATGTTAATATTTCAGAATTAACAGGAGTTTTTCTCCCATTGAGGTCAAGCCCAATTAACAAAGTTTCAAATTGGACTATAAATTTTTATTTCTTTAACTTTGGAAAGGCATGGACTAGTCAAGGATAGTCAGCATGACTTTGTTAAGGGGTCAAGCCTTACAAATTTAATTGAATTCTTTGCCGAAGGGACAAGGAAAATCGATGATGGCGGTGCAGTGGATGTCGTTTTATAGCAAGGCATTTGACAAGGTCCCACATGGCAGACTGGTCAAAAAAGTCAAAGCCCATGGTAAAAAGGATAATGTGTCGAATTGGATCTAAAGTTGGCACAGTAACAGGAAACGAAGGATAATGGTCAAAAGCTGCCCTTGCAACTGGAAAGCTGTTTCAGTTGGTGTTCTGCTCAGTTTGGTGTCAGGGTCACCGCTGTTTGTTTTATACGTTAATGGTTTAGACTTGAAAGTGGCAGGGCACAATTGGGGAATTTGTAGACAACACAAAAATTGGCTGCGTAGAGGGTAGGTTAGGGGATAGCATAAGCTCCACATGAATTGGTGGAGTGGGCAGGAAAGTGGTAGATGGAGTTCCACTCTGATAAGTTTGATGTCATGCATTTAGGGAGGTCAAAGATTAAGAGGGAATATACAATAAACAGGAATATACTGAGAGGGGGAGATGAAGTGAGAAATCTTGGCAAGTACAAAGGTCCCTAAAGGCAATAGTACAGGTGGATAAAGTTGTAAAGAAGGCATTTGGAATGCTGTCCTTCACTGGCAGAGGTATACAGTACAAATGTAAGGATACAAAGATGAAACTGTGTAAGACACTGATGAGGCCACAACTGGAGTACTGTGTGCAATCCTGGTCACCACATTACAGGAAAGACGTAATTGTTCTGGAGAGAGTGCAGAGAAGATTTACTAGAATGTTGCCAGGGCTGGAGAATTGTAGCTACAAGGAGAGATTGAGAGGTTGGGGTTGTTTTCCTTGGAACAGAGAAGGCTGAAGGATGACATGATTGAGGTATACAAAACTGTGAGGGGCAGAGACAGGGTAGATAGGAGGGACCTTTTCCCTTGGCCAGGGGTCATCGATTCAAGCTAACTGGGAGAAGGATTAGTGAGGAAAACTTTTTACACAGAGGGTGTCTGGAATTCACTGCCTGAGTTGGTGGTGGAGGCAGAGGCCCTAATCTCTTTTAGAAAGTACCTGGAACTGCACCTTCAATGCCGTAAGCTGCAGGGCTTTGTGTGCGTGTGCAGAAAGATGGGATTAGAAAGGGCATCTTGGTGTCTTTGGGTTGGCGTGTGTTAGATGGATCAAATGGCCCCATTCTGTGCTGGATCATTTCTATGGTTCGATGGCTCTAACTGTAGAACTTTGCCCTTTGGGAACCACAGATCAAAAGAGACCAGGAATTCAGATTATTTGTAACACTTCCAGTAAAAGAACTATCCAATTATCTCAACAAGAGGTCAATGTGTTTTTTTTTTGTTGAGACACCTATCTAAATGAAGACTTAACTGGATTAATGGAATCAATTGGATCAGTTTATGTATGTGCGAGTAGATTACTAAATGTTTAACCCTCCTAAAAGTCCTAGATTTTAAGTGAATTTGTTGAGAATCTTTACCATTGCGGTCCAATGTCCAATTCTCCTCCTGATCAAAGTGAATGTTCCCTCCAATTCCCGGCCCAGGTGAAAATGCATGAGCCAAAGTCCCTCCACGTCCATCAAATGGAAAACTATCACCATGAACTACCAATTGAATGAAGATAAGAAGACAGAGTGATGTCAGAAACTAAACCACAGTTAGATTGGTTTATAGTTGCATTGAGTTCATTATACCTCCTAATGCATGGTGGTAATACATAAAAGCTGACTGAATAGGGCCAAAATGCTTAGGAATAAACAAAAACAATAATAAACAAAAACAGAAATTGCTGGAAAAGCTCAGCAGGTCTGGCAACATCTATGAAGAGAAATTAGAGTTAATGTTTCAGGCTCAGTGACTCTTGTTAGTAACAAGAATAACTTCCAAGTATTTAATGTAATAAACAGCCCAAGATGCTTCACAGGAACTGTATGAGACAAAAAATACCAGAATTTCATGAGCAACTATTAGGGCAAATGATCGAAAGCTTGATTAAACACGAGCCAGTGATGGTTAGGGTGGGAATTCCTTGACTAAGGTGGACTGATTAAAATTGAGGTTTGCTCATTGGTTAGATTTAGATGGGTCTAGGTATAGAACATAGAACATAGAACATAGAACACAGAACAATACAGCACAGTACAGGCCCTTCGGCCCACGATGTTGTGCCGAACTTTTACCCTAAACCTAAGGTCTATCTAACCTCCACCCCTACCTTATACTATCATCCATATGCCTATGTAATAGCCGCTTAAATGCCCCTAATGAGGCCGACTCCACTACCATCTCCGGCAATGCATTTCATGCCCCGACCATTCTGAGTAAAGAACCTACCTCTGACGTCACCCCTATATCTACCTCCACTCACTTTAAAACTATGCCCCCTCATAATAGCTACCTCCACCCTAGGAGGGTTGTAAGGCTGGAGGGGAATACGGAGAGAGGGAGCAGCAAGACCATAGAGGTTTTGAAACCAAAGATGAGAATTTGCAAACCAATGCTTTGTTTAATTGCCAGTCTATGTAGGTCAGTGACCAGAGGATTGACAGGGAACAGCTGAAAGTTAGGGCGATTACAACAGGGATTTGTCAGGTTTACCAAGAATCTGGAAGTGGTGCTCCAGAATAATCTAGTCTGGAGGTAATAAAGATGTGGATGAAAGTTCCAGCTAAGACAGGGCTGAAATCAGATAATGTCGAGGAAAGGGAAATAAACACATCCTGGTGATGGCACAGGTCTATCAAATGGCAGACTATGGAACAAGTTGTTGCACCTGGTTTGCCATTGGTGAACGTGGTTGATTGGAACGAGGCATAAGGCTTGATCTCTTAGAGCACACTCAACCAATACTACCTGCAAACTGATCAAATCCATGCCTTCCCTTGCTTTGCTGTGCCAATGAGCACATGCATATACCAGGCAAGTTGCCTTGCTGGTCAGTAGTCCTCAGTCAAAGGGAAAGGCATCTTGCTCAGATCAACTCAATGTACTAGCAGCCTACACGATCAATATTCTGCATGTGCAGCAAACAGGTCTCAACATCCGACAGCAGGAATCCTGACTGAAATCGTCGGAGATACCCATCAGTGCAGTAAGTCCGGAGCAGCCTCCTGGACCAATCCAAGGGATTGGCCACAATCTGGTGCCCACTTGGTGTGCTGTGTCCCTGCCTCTGCAGTTAGGAGTAGGTTATGGTTAGCCCCGTGGCTCCACAGTGACCAGTCCTGGTTGGGGTGGGGGTGCAGAGATAACGTGGTCATGGAGATGTCCACACAGCGCACCACCCCACACTGCTCCCCCCACCCCACCCCACAACCCCCCAACAGTGCTCTGGGTAATTCTCACTTGGGGCTCTCTGGGTTAGGTCACTCAAGGTAGTAACATCCACAGAAACTGAGGGGTAAGGGAGGTGGAGAGCACAATTGAGCACTGGGGCCTGTAGGCTTAGGTGAAGGGAGTTATTGATTATGAAGGTGGGCAACAGTAACAGGAAGTGGGGATACACGAAAGCATGACAGGAACCAAGAGGGTCATGTGGGAGGTGCAGTCACCCATGGTCCAGAGCCCCCTGACCTCCACCAGCCTTGCACCAGCCTCTGTACCATGACCTCAAGACCCACGTCAGAGAAATGCGGTGCCATCTTTCCCTTGTCTGCTTTCTTCAGAAAATGTCCTCGATCAAACATGGCAGCTTAAGATGCCCACTGATTGTCCATCCTTTTAATAATGGTCTGGACAAAAGGCATGCTAGTCTTTCAGTACACATTTTCTGAGTAGCAATTTGTTCCAGGAATGGCACATGGTCAGATGGGGTGGAAATCAGATCATCCTTAGGGATGCCATGGGGCAGGGGAGCTGTTTTATAAGGTGAGATATAGCAAGAAATTACATAAGGTTTCACAGTGACAATCTATCTGAAAACATAAAACAACTCACATCTATACAAAAAAAAATCAGCCTATAAGTACAAACAGTTGGTAAAAGCTGGAATGAGACCATTTAGGGACCAAAAACAGAATTTACGCAAGAAACCAGGGGCATGGCTGAGGCATTAAATGAATATTTTACATTTGTTCTTACCAAAGAAGCAGGTGATATCCAGGTTACGGTGAAAGAGGCAGTAATTCAGACAAAGTCAAAAATCACACAACACTAGGTTATAGTCCAACAGATTTATTTGAATACACGAGCTTTCAGAGCCTCGCTCCTCCTTCAGGTGTCAGTGAGACAGGTGGCATCAGATACAGAATTTATAAGTAAAAGATCAAAGGGTCATAGAACTGACATGAATGTGTTGAACAAACCCAAAATGGTTGTTAAATCTTTAATCAGTTAGAAAGGATTAATATGCAAACCCCAGAATTTCTTTCAAGTCACTGCCCTGAGATAACTAAAGGCTTTACTAGTTCCCTTAGTATGGGTTGTTCAACATCACATCAGTTCTATGACCCTTTGATCTTTTGCTTATAAATTCTGTGTCTGATGCCACCTCTCTCAATGACACCTGAAGAAGGAGCGAGACTCCAAAAGCTTGTGTCTTCAAATGCACCTGTTGAACTATAACCTGTGATTTTTGACTTTGTCCACCCGAGTCCCACACCGGCACCTTCACTTCGTAATTCAGATACTAGATGGATATAAAACTGATAAGCCAGTGACATTGGATAAGCTTTCTGTATGTAACTGTGTTGGATAAGCTGCATCTGAGGGAGTGAAAACTCTGAAGGGACTGTCAATAAATTTCTATGGTGGGGCTAGAGGCTTTGCAAATGGAAATTCTCATTTGAAAAAAGGATATAAGGACAAGTCCAGCAACTACATTCTACATAAGTGTGAGGCTGGAAAAGCACAGCAGGTTCGCCCAAAATGTTGATTTTCCTGCTCCTCAAATGCAGTGTGACCTGCTCTACTTTTCCAGCCTCACACCTATAGACTCTGGCTTCCAGCATCTGCTGTCCTTATTGTCTCCCAACAACTACAGTTAGTTTAATCCAGGTGGTGGAAAAGCTTTTTTGAAATTAGAGTTCAGCGCAGAATTAATAGTCACTTGAGTAAGTGCAAGTTACTTAAGAAAAGCCAGTATGGATTTGTTAAGGAGGTATAGTGATTCTCTGACGTGCCAATACAGAGACAGTTGATGAGGGTAATGCTGTTGATGTGGTGTACATGGCCTCCCAAAAGACACTTTATACAATGCTGCACAAAAGACGAGAACAAAATTGGCTGAGAGGAAGCAGAACATAATGGTGATTTTGTTTGATGTTTGGTAAAGCTCCCCAGAGGCCATTGTTACAACCTCAGTTCTTCCTGTTATATTAATATAAATTGGGAAATAATTACAAAATTTTTGGGTGATAGTGTGAAGTGTTGTGAACTGTGGGGCAGCTAGTGTGGAACCTTAAAAGGACCTAGACAGATCAATCGAATGTTTGGACAAATGGTATATTAAATTTAATGCACAGAGATTTTAATGTGGCAGATGAGGTTCAATGTGGAGAAATGGGAAGTGCTTCATTTTGGTATGGAGATAGGGAGAAGTGACCTAAAACACTGGGTGAAGCAAGACAAGACCAATTTGATGCAGGAAGGATGTTCTCACTGGTGGGGGAATTCAGAGCCAGGGATCATAGTTTAAAGGTAAAGGGTAAACCTTTTAGGACTGAGATGAGGAGAAATTTCTTCACCCAGACAGTGGTAAACCTATGGAATTCACTACCACACAAAGTGTCTGAGGCCAAAACTTTGTGTGTTTTGAAGAAGGAGGTTGATACAGCTCTAATGACTAAAGAGATCAGGGGTTATGGAGGGAGGGGGGATTAGGATCATAGAAACATAGATCTGTAAAGCACAGAAACAGACCCTTCAGCCCAACTCATCCATGCTGACCCAGATATCCTAAATTAATCTAATCCCATTTGCCAGCATTTGGCCCATATCCCTCTCAACCCTTCCTATTCATGTACCCACCCAGATGACTTTTAAATGTTGCAATTGTACCAGCCTCCCCTACCTCCTCTGGCAGCTCATTCCACACATGCACCATCCTCTACATAAAAAAGTTGTCCCTTAGGTCCCTTTTAAAACTTTTCCCTCTCACCTATGCACTCCAGTTTTGGACTTCCCCAGTCCGGAGAAAAGACCTTGACTATTCACTCTATCCATGACCCTCATGATTTTATAAACCTCTATAAGAACACCCCTCAGCCCCCTATACTCCCGGGAAAATATCCTCAGCCTACTCAGCCTCTCCATACATTACAAACCCTCCAGCCCTGGCAACATCCTTGTAAATCTTTTCTGCACCCTTTCAAGTTTCACAACATCTTTTCTATAGCAGGGAGACTAGAACTGAATGCAGTATTCCAAAAGTGGCCTAACCAATGTCCTATTCAGCTGTAACATGACCTCCCAACTCCTATACTCAATGCACTGACCAATAAAGGCAAGCGTACCAAACACCTTCACTACCTTGTCTACCTGCAGCTCCATTTTCAAGGAACTATGAACCTGCACTCCAAGGTCTCTTTGTTTGGCAACACTCCCCAGGACCCAACCATTAAGTGTATGAGTCCTGCCCTGATATTCCTTTCTAAAATGCAACACC